GGTGTTGTTAAACTTACATGAAAATACAACGTTGGTGTTGTGTAGCAGTTGCTACGAAGAAGACGGTGTAGGGGAGGAGGTTTGTAAATGTGAGGATTTAGTGTTCGTGTTCGTATTACATGTTCACGGTAGACATCATCACCATTGTTACGAATGCGGAAGACCACTGACAACAGGAGATATGTGTGATGCAAGTATACTGCAGCCAGGCTTCACGGGGGATTCATCGACGAACGTAAAATTACAGATTGTAGAATTATTGTTAGGTTGTGTAAGAAACGGTACGTATCGATGTGGTGGTAGGACATCTTTTCCAAACGATGGGAAAAAAAGGAAGTTGTTCGATGTAGAGTGAGTGAGGCAGAAGATAGTGGAAAGAGGGGAAATTATAGTGTTTAGTAAAGTGGTTGAAGCTGACAATGTAGTAAATGTGTATTTCATAAATATATTATAAATAATTAATAGTTGATAGTATGTTATTAATTTACACCACACGTAAATTGGAAGGCAGTTTACAGAAAATTCATGAGCGTAGCTTCGTTGAGTGAACAACCATACTCGCGAACATTCGTGACAAAGATTTCTGACGCATGCGTATACGGAGAACGTGAGCACAACATTAGCTCATGAGGATTAGCATGATAGAGTAATCGACGCATGCGTAGTACGCGAAAACGCAGGTGTTAACTGTGTAGATGACGTCACGTCTGCAAACCACATTCCGATGGTGGTTGAGAGGCGGAAAACTTGTGTAGAAGGAGGGTGCGGGGTAAGCGGGGAGTAGTTGGTAAGCGGAGAGCGTTGTCTCATTCTGTTTTAGAACGTTGCGTGAAGTGGACGGTAATATTTTAAAAAGAATGGTTGGTAAAGATGTAAGGAAGCCGGCAGTGCCGAAGTCCCGTTTCGGGAAGTTTAGGGCGGGTGCTGTAAGTAGAATGAAATACTTAGTAAAATTATTTTGTATTAATTGTGTAATATTTTAAAACAATTATATTTCGTTTTGAAGTTTGAAATAGTTGGAGTCGTCACCTCAATGGCGACGTTATCGGTCGCCTCAACCATAACGACTATGGCAGCGGGTAAGAAGAAGCTGGGAATCCGGCGGAATAGTGTGGCAAAGACGTCTCCGACGTGGAGCGGTTCGGGGACGAGGCCCACCATAAGCACGGTGACCCCAGCAGAAACGCTGCCTCCACCGACGACGACGGCTCCAACATTGGCACAACGGGACCAGTTGATGGGTACATGTGCCATAGATGTGACGATGCCTCTGTGGTGTATATCACCTGTATCACCTCTGCCCGACACCCCCATGACGCCTTCACAGGAGATGGAGCGTTTAGAAGGTGTCATGGTAAGTGCTCATCATGTGCAAGAAAAGATGGAGGCACTGACGTCAGTGTGGTCGAGTATGCTATATCCGGCTACAACCGCAAGCAGCCAACAGGGGTGATTTTTATCGACGTTTCCAAGGCTTTTGACAAGGTATGGCGCAACGATATAATTTGGCATTGAGATCGCCTGCGACGATAGTTCACACGTTTGCTGGGGGTAGAAGGGGGACGTTTGAATGATCCTCTTCGTTTGGGGGGAATATAATGAGATAATTCTGACAGGGCCGAAAGTTGAAATGATTTCAATGGCAACTGCTTCTAACGAGTCTGTAGTTTTCACGATCCCTTCTGTTGGCTATGAAGTTTGGGGCAAAGAGCTTGATTTTTTTGGGATGACGTACTAACCATTTCGTATTAATCCTCTAACAGTATTTATTAACCTAACAAATAGATGTACATTTTATTTATTATTGTTACTTGTTATGACATTATTTATTTATAGATTATATATNAAGTTGACCCAAGAAGGGATGACAGTGAGTTCGAACAATTAAAAAAAGCATATATAGATTATATCAATAGCTCTCGATTTGGAGAATATTTGGAGGAATTCGATCCTCTACCTCGTGACTATATAGAGGGAATTATTAAAGACTATGAAGGTGTTAGATTTAACACTGACGTTGTGAATCCCCGTCTTGACAAAGTTCGATACGAATGGGACACAAATAAATTTTTTATCGGTGATTCTGAAATAGATTTTGTTGGACCAGACGTCGTAATAGATGGAAAATTTAAATACACAGGTACTGTGGGATTATATGAGCAACTGTCTAAATTAAGTTCTGAATATCTGACATCAATTAAAGAACGGAGAGACTATGCGGATATATTAAAACGTACGGGAGCAGTATACAATTTAAGGCAACAAACAACGAAGCCTTCTAAAGGTGGAGGCTTATCGTTGTTGACTTACAACGAAAAACCGATAGAATACAAATATTTTGATGATGTTAATGAATTGTGTGATCGTTTAAAGTTATTGGTTGCTTCTCAACAAGTAGGCAACACAAATCATGAAAACGAAATGCAATCAATTTTAGAAAAGTTGCGGGAGTCTAATATAATCGAATAAACGATTTATGGGGGTGGTTAGTTAGATAATGGCGAACGATAAGTTCGGACGTGCTTTAAAAAAAAAAAAAACGATCATATTCGCAAGCATTTAGCAATGTTCACGATTTTAATCATAACCGCTTAACAAGAATCGGGGACCCTCAGCAGGAGCATGATGCTGTTAATGTACGATTTTTGGAGAAGAAGCTGAAACTTCTTTTATCTCAAGATGATGTAGTGAATATTAGAAAGGCATTCGACAAAGTATTGTATTTTGTTGACGTGGCTAATAAACGTATTATACACTTGAATGAGCCTACAACTGGCTTTCATGCAGCTACAAAACAATATGTAGATGAAAAGGATAGGTTAACAAAAGAACATATCAGAATAGAATGTGAAAGAGTAAAGGATAGCGCTGTCAGTGAAGGAGATAGGAAGATGAAGGATTTACGAGAAGAATTAAAAACACTTGTCTCCAAAAGTGATCAAAAGATGATGAAAACATTTAATGATAAAATGGATATATTAATTAAAAATATGGGAAGAGAAAATGAAAATTATAATAATGATAGGGATAAGCAAATAACAAAAATGGTTAATGATGTGATAGAAAAGAATGGCGTCATAATCATGGACACCCTTTCAGCAAAAATTACATTGGAATGTAAAAATGTAGAAACATTTGCTAGAAAAGGTGACGAAGAATTGTCGAAGAAACTAAAGAGCGACATTGTGACAAACATAAAAAGAGATATAGATGTGAGCATCGAATTAATAAAGACATTGATTAAAGATGAGTGCAAGAAAGTTATGGAATTTGCAGAGAAAGAAATTAAAGTAAGCAATAAAAAGATAGAAGACATGGAAAAGGAGTTAGTGAAAATGGTGGTCATTAAAAAAAGAAGAAGAAGATTGGATACTTTAGAACAAACAGCAGCTGGAAGTACAAAATCGAGCAGTTCTAAACCAACAGAGGCATCGTCTGTGTAGTTGTCGTCAACACAAAGGAATGTCTTACGTGAAAGAGGAAGTTGTGAAAGAACTGCATAAACCTGCAAGGATTAATTTCTCGCGCCGTAAGGTAGTTGTTAAAGGATTGGATGATCTACATCAAGCCGATTTAGTTGAAATGATTCCGTATGCGAGAGAAAATAAAGGTTTCCGATATATTTTAGTTGTAATAGACGTTTTCTCAAAATTTGTATGGGCTCAAGCAGTAAAACGGAAAACAAGTGAATATGTCGGAAGAGCTTTACAGTTAATTTTCAGCAGATATAAACGTATTCCTAAGAATGTGCAAACTAACCTAGGAAAAGAATTTTATAACGAACAAGTGAAGAAAGTAATGCAGAAACATAAAATTAACCATTATTCAACGTATAGCACAAAGAAAGCATCAGTTGTGGAACGGGTAAATAGAACGCTAAAATCAAAAATGTGGCAGCGCTTCAGTTTACAAGGATCCTACAAATGGTTGAATATATTACAAGATATAGTAAGTGAATACAACAATAAGATTCACAGAACCATCGGAATGAAACCAAGCAAAGTCAATAGACGAAATGAAGAAACACTTTTGAAAAGTATTTACAACAATCCGAAAAAGGTGGATTTACGAAGAATTCAGTTTAAAGTGGGGGACCGGGTACGAATAAGTAAATATCGTGAATCGTTTAGCAAAGGTTATACACCGAATTGGTCCAACGAACTATTTACAATAAGCCGTATAAAATTGTCTGATCCGATCATGTACTACTTAAAGGACGATAAAGGGGAAGACATAAAAGGAGGATTTTATGGTATGGAATTACAGAAAGCTGCATATCCAGACGTTTTTTTGGTGGAGCGAGTATTAAGACGTAAAGGTGATATGGTTTACGTGAAATGGTTAGGACTCGACCAATCTCACAATAGCTGGATCCATAAAAGAAACGCTTTGTGATATAGTCATAGATTTTTGTATTTATAAATGGTAAAACGTTTACGAATTTTTATACCCCCTCCCCAAAATGTGATTATAAATAACATTAAACGTGGTGAATGTAGCCAGTTGAGATCGTTAGTTTTTTAATTTTTCAAAGACGGTTTATTGTTTGAGAGAAAACATTTGGTTGCGTCAGAGTTGGAGAACGTGGTACAAGAATTTGAGTTAAAATGTGGATACGATAAACTTGTAATAACAGGTTATTTAGTAAACGAAGAGGGCGAGCCTGACGATTTAGAAATAGAATTTACGAAGAGCAATACTATCCGATGATTTAGATAGAGTGAAAGTTGTGCGTTCAAAGTTGGGTGTTGAAGTACCAAAGGAGGTATTCAAGTGGTTAACAATGTCGCAAGAGGCATCGTTTGATATTTTGTATTTCATATACGAAATAAAACGACGGTGTGATACATTCGTTAGTGATTTTTTAAAAGCATGTGGTGAAAAAGTGGTGATAACCGTTGATGATGTTCAAGACATTTTAAATGAAACAAATAGTAATTACACGCGAAACGATGTGTATTTTCTAAAGGAAATGTTGACAAACGGATCGGTTATGGTCAAGAACAAAAGATTCTCCATCGTTAACGTAAAGAAAACGTATAGAACACTACTAAAGTGTGTAGATGATTTAATAATGGATGTAGCATACTACGCGCAACCGAAATATTTGGAAAAGTGTATTAAGCTAATAAATTTGTTCCGGCTTCTATATACACTAAGTCCGAACATTAACGATCGTCATCAGACAGTGGTGAGTCGGATAGAAGAAGAAAAAGAATAAATTGTAACAGCAGAAACATTCCGTGTTTTGTTTCAACGTTCAGAGAGATAATTCAATTTGTAAAGTTAGTTAAAGACAAAGCGTTATTGTAACGTTTATTTAAGCAGATGAGAGTATACAAACAATAGCAAGGATAAACGTTTAAAATATAATATTGAAGCATTATTTACATATACACATATAGCCTATACACTTATTGTTATGTAAGGTTTTCGTAAATATTATCAATAGATTCTTCTGGAAGTGAAGAAGCTTCGAAAAGTTTTTGAATAAAATATTCCCCAACCGTTAAATTGTCTGTGTGCGGTTGATGAAAATTTTGGATTAATTGATCAATTTTGCTGTTCAACTTTAAGACAGAATGTTCAGAGTTTTTTATATTGTAATGTCCCCACGGAAGCGTATTAGTTGTTTTTGGAATCAAGAAACGTTTATCGACTTTAGGGCAAAGAGCTGCTTTAGTTTTCATTTGAGTGAACATAGTATGAAGGTCAGAAACAAAAACATTCATACATTTTATAATGGTGGAATCGTCCCTAATAACACGAAGTTAATCATCAATTTCGAGATGTAATTTAATAACGTTTTTCTTAACACCTTTAGCTTTTTTAACAATTTGATCAATCGCTTCAACACAGTAAGCTTTAGCTCCGGCTCCATAAAATGCCTTAATAGGATTATTAGGGAACTTATCTTTGAATTTACCGATAACAGATGAGGTAATGGGGATATTGAAACTATTCTCGCGCGGATAATTGGAAGTATCGAAGTGATTAATAATAAGTTTTCAGTGAACACTTTCAAAATGAAGGAATCGGAATCCATGTACATCAAGGAAATGTTGTGTTGATATTTTCGTTTAAGAAAGGTGTAGTAGAAGTCGTACATAACAACTTTTGATAAATCTAAGATAGTAAAACAAACGTAGAGAGGTTTATCGTAAATAATACATAATTTATTCATCTGAATGGCTACAAAATTGGGAGTGAATATCTCAGAATTTTTGAAATTAGGTTTAGCTATTAAACTTTCCGCACCAAGAAAGCGCCCAGAATTTTACCAATGAGTGACTAATTTTACATCAACTCGTTTATCAACATTCTCCATTGTTTTTCCGAAAACACTATTGTTCATTAATTTGAAGAAGGATTTCCCAAATTTATTTTCAGACAAATTACGTTGTGGGGTATTTAAATCGATGAAATGTTTAAGCCAGTGGGACTGTTTAAACTGGATAATTCTGTGAACTTTAAGTAATCGTAGTCCATTACGAAGGGTTTGTTGAAGCGTAAGATAATGAAGAACATATTTTGTCTTATTCATAAGGTTCGGTATCAGTTTTTTGACTTTACCATTCATATTAGCAGGAGAGATAATGTTTTCAACTAAAAAAGGGAGATCAGCATGTGAATCATGGAGGTGTTGGGAATATTCAACATCTACTTCAAGTACGTAACCGTATTCAGAAGAAGCATGTAAAGAGAGAACATTCAATTCATCAATTTCGGCTTGGGTTAGCCAACGGAAGTGGGAAATAGGAAGTGCTTGACTCATACTATGTCCATACAAATTAGTAGCATCCAAATACATAATGTAGGAGGTAGGCGCGGACGCGTTGTAATCGGGGATGTGAGGGTTGTTAGCGAAGTGCATTCTTTGAACGCATTGACTTATTCCTCCACGTACCCCTTTTTGAAAAAATTTTAACATATCGATATCAGTCAGAAGTTGTAAACTAACGCGAGTGAATTTTAACATACTATCCCACGCAAGCCCTGGCGCTGTGTAATACTGAGCAGGATCTAAGTCGTAAGTGGTGAGACATATTTGTCGGAAATTCTCGAAAACATCAGCTAGCAAAAGAACATCTGTTTTCAAGTAGATATCGGAGTATTCTCCTAGAGTTGAACATGAAAAAGTATTCCAAACAGTTTTAGCTCTTTTGTAATCGTCATCGGAAACGGGGAGGGAAGTCAATTTATCGAAGAAATCGTCTTTCTGTGGAAATGTTGTTTCATCAAGCTTAGCAACATCATCAACGTAGGAATAAGGGAAAACACCTTTTCGTCGCATAAGTTGAAAGTGATTAGGATCGGGAAAGTATTTTTTCACTTGCAAACATTGATGAGCATCAAGTTCATCCGACAGCTTGTCGAGGGAGGAAGCCATGAAACGATAGGAATCGAGAAATCTAATCTTCACGAACACATTTTGTGTTGAGTCGTCTGTTTCAGTTTGAACCGTATCAACTCGTAATAATTTGGAAAAGGATATGTATTTTTCTTTATTTTGAGCTATTACGGTAAATTTAACATCGTTCACAGCCATTTCCTTTAGAAACAAGTGGCAATCATATCCGGAGAGGTTGTGGAAAAAAACAGGTACAAAGTTGGGTAGTTTGTAATTTAAATTACATCTGGAGTGAGCAGCTCCTAATCGAACTTTACCGGTCAAATGACAATGATCATGCACCTTGACGTCATCGTCCAGAAAGGGTTCTTCGCAAATATTGCAAGAGGTAGCGTCAGAGAAGAGACGTATTTCTTCATCTGTCAGGGGTATCATGGGAGAAACGATCTTCAAATATCGATGATAAATATCAGAAACATCTCGATCGAGAGTTGTAACGAATTGATTGGCGCAATCGGGGCCTCGATACGATCTGAATTTCGAGAGGGAATCATCGAAGGAGCACTTCATCAAATAAGCAAAGGAATGAGGTTGATGTTTGTGGGTGGATGTGGTGGCAGTCTTATTAGGGTCATGAAAACATGTGTGAATTGGTCGCAGTACGGTTTCAAAGTCTGCGTATACAACAAATGGTACTTTGATACGTTTCTGATAATTTTCAAATTTTAAAATGTGATTGGGGACAAACCTACCCATCTTATCCATCTTGAAATCACCGTTGGGAAGGCTGGTGTAGACATGATTACAGTCATGCTGCTGATGACGATGTAGGTGAGGTAAAGTGGAGAAGTATTGTAGGCAACCGTCGCATAAGAATTTGCGATGTCCAGTTTTAGAAAGTTGTTGAGAAAGTAAACGGGACATGTCCTTTATCCAACAGTAATGATTATTTCCTAGATCATCATCGAGCAAGAGCAGATTGAAGTGTAGCCGTCGCTTGATGGGTGAGTAGTAAAGGGGGCCAACGATTTCCCATGTCCACTTTCCATCTTTCAAAACGGATTCAGTCCCGTAGACATTCACAGAGCAGTGGTTCTTCGATTCAAATTTCGGTATGTCAGTTAATTTCATAGGAAATTGGATACCGTCGTAGTCCAAAGTGCGGGAGTAATGTGGATAGGAAGTAGTTCTTTGCGGGTTCGCTTGTGCGGGATACAGAGCTGACGTAATTGCCCATGCGAAGCAGGCGTGATCGTCGTTTCGCACATTCACAACCGCTTTCTTGAATAAAATTTGTTTCGGTAACGGAATGTAGGAAGACGCTCTCAGCGGATTGTACTTGTTAAAGTTGATTTCAAGGAAAAGAACCCTTTCTAAAATCCATCCTGTAGAAATGGGGAAATGTTAAATGAAATGAAACGTATACTAAAGAAGGATGAGTTACCTGACTCTCGTTCTTGAAATTCTGACGCTTTAGCCTCAAGTATCTCAAAGAAGTTTTGTAGAAGATTGGGAAGATCGATGGATCGAGTCACAACTTTGTTGTTGGTGTTGAAGGATTTAATTTCAACCAACTGTTTGGTTTCGTGCACGTAACGTCCAAAAACTTCGAGATTTATTTTAAGCGTGTCGTGGAGGTGGATCTGATTACGTATAACACGCACGCATTTGTCGAGAACATCGGTGAAGAAGTCGTTATACGATAGAAGGTATTTCGCAGACGTAATACGAAACGAAGCAATCCTGCTAGCGAAAGCAGAGGAAAGGAAACCGATTCCCTCCTCAAGAGGTGAACAACAATTTTGTTTATGCTGTAGGGTGCGCAGGTGACCGTTGTACGAAGATTGAGGAACATATATTTTACACGTTTCACACCAGCGGTCGGAAGAGGTGGCAGATGTAGCACATTTCGGTTTTTTATTCGGTAGCGAGGAATTAGGATGGTACTGTACTCGTTTACGACACGAAGCTTTCTGATGTCGTTTTAAATTATCAGATCGCGTAAAGGACGTATCGCAGTCGGGACAACGAATCATATCGGTTAGATGTAACAGAGGTGTCTCGAGAAAGACTGAGGAAGACCGTGTGCGAAGTAGATTTAACAATGTAAAAAATATGAAGGAGTGGGAGAAAATAAAGTAGGTGAGGGTGGTGGGGTGGTTTGAAGATATTTAAGAGGCATGTATAGAGGAAAAGAATAAGTGAAATGGCTGAATTAGGACAGTGTGATGCGGCAGATGCGTCAGTGATTAGCTTGGACGAATCGGAGCTGTCAGCGATGCTGGAAGAGTTCTTCCACAACGATGAGTTGGTGACGAAGACAGTCGGTGGAGAAAAATCATGTGTAGCAGATGTAGCAACGGAAAGGATAGCAGTACCTGTGGCTAGTACATCGCGTACGCCGGTAGGGGGCGGTAAATCCGTAAGTATGAAGCCTAAGAAGCGGACATACAATAGAAGAGTATCGAGCGGTCCGCTGGATTATTCAAAGCTGGTGGAGCAGGTGCGAGAAGCAGTGAAGACACTTCAACGGGAGAAGCGAAAACGGGAAGGTGAAATAAAGGACCATGACATGAAGGACGCTTCAGTTTTGGAACAAATAAAGCGGAAAGAGAAAGAGTTGGAGGATCTGAAGAAAAGTCGTGAAAGCAGCTGTAGAATGGTGGTGGAAGGTAGAAAGAGAGTGGAAGAGGTGGAGCAGAAGTTAAATGAATTGCAAACACAATTGTTGAACATATTTAATTAATATTGTAAATATAGTAATATAAAATAAATGATTGTATTGTAAGATGATTTTATTTAATAATTTTCTCTCGAAGGAATGATGATGTGTAATTCAGTTATATATATGTGATTGAAGAAATATTTTTTTGTTCCCAATATTATTGTTCAATACTTTCAAGTTCACTGTATTGGAGGTGTACGAAAAATAAGAAAAAGGTGTAGTTGGTATAAAGTTTATTATAAAAGTTACATATATTTTTAAAATAATTACCATAAATTATAAACATTACATTTATTTAAATAACTTAATTTAATTAAGAACTATAGAAATGTTTAATAGTTATAATTCCGTATGCGACGTAGTGTACGGTAACGACCCCTTCCACATTTACATTACGGAGGTAGTGTTCTATGTGTTGACAAAAAGGAACTAGTCTTTGTTTGCTATAAACGATCCATGCTGTCACCACTTCATTGAAATTGGTCCAAGCATCAGTGTGGACGATGTTGAAGGGTGCCGTTGTAGTTTGCAGTTGTGTACCTTTGAAAATTATGTGGTAGTACATGTTGATATTTGGAAGAGCAGAAGTCTTCTGCTGAAGCAATAGAAGATGTGGGAATTTATATGATTTGGAGGAGTGTGGTATGAGTAGGGTGAGATGAATTGGAGGAGGGAGAAGAAGAAAGTGGGGGAAGCGAGGATCTGCAGAGTTCTTAATATGGAAGGAAAAATGTATTGTGTAATCAGTAACGGTGTGGGCAGCATGGGATTCGTTTGTAGAACATCGTGGTTCGAGAACCGTTCATTAAGATTATTTAATGGTATAGAAGTCAGTGTGCTACCAATATTGTATCGCACAGACTTCGGAGCGGACGTATGTGAGGAGGAGTGGATACAGTCATGGCGATCTGGTTTAAATATTGAGAATAATTACCGACAGTTTTTGCCAGTCAACGGTGACAGATGCGATAATAGCGAAAGACGTATAAAGAAGGGTTATGTGCAGCATAAATATACGATGGAAAATAATTGTTCATTGGAACATATTCTGAGACGTAGTGTGTGTGACAACATTAACGAATACACGTGTACCGAAGGGAAGGTGTTGTTAAACTTACATGAAAATACAACGTTGGTGTTGTGTAGCAGTTGCTACGAAGAAGACGGTGTAGGGGAGGAGGTTTGTAAATGTGAGGATTTAGTGTTCGTGTTCGTATTACATGTTCACGGTAGACATCATCACCATTGTTACGAATGCGGAAGACCACTGACAACAGGAGATATGTGTGATGCAAGTATACTGCAGCCAGGCTTCACGGGGGATTCATCGACGAACGTAAAATTACAGATTGTAGAATTATTGTTAGGTTGTGTAAGAAACGGTACGTATCGATGTGGTGGTAGGACATCTTTTCCAAACGATGTGAAAAAAGGAAGTTGTTCGATGTAGATTGAGTGAGGCAGAAGATAGTGGAAAGAGGGGAAATTATAGTGTTTAGTAAAGTGGTTGAAGCTGACAATGTAGTAAATGTGTATTTCATAAATATATTATAAATAATTAATAGTTGATAGTATGTTATTAATTTACACCACACGTAAATTGGAAGGCAGTTTACAGAAAATTCATGAGCGTAGCTTCGTTGAGTGAACAACCATACTCGCGAACATTCGTGACAAAGATTTCTGACGCATGCGTATACGGAGAACGTGAGCACAACATTAGCTCATGAGGATTAGCATGATAGAGTAATCGACGCATGCGTAGTACGCGAAAACGCAGGTGTTAACTGTGTAGATGACGTCACGTCTGCAAACCACATTCCGATGGTGGTTGAGAGGCGGAAAACTTGTGTAGAAGGAGGGTGCGGGGTAAGCGGGGAGTAGTTGGTAAGCGGAGAGCGTTGTCTCATTCTGTTTTAGAACGTTGCGTGAAGTGGACGGTAATATTTTAAAAAGAATGGTTGGTAAAGATGTAAGGAAGCCGGCAGTGCCGAAGTCCCGTTTCGGGAAGTTTAGGGCGGGTGCTGTAAGTAGAATGAAATATTTAGTAAAATTATTTTGTATTAATTGTGTAATATTTTAAAACAATTATATTTCGTTTTGAAGTTTGAAATAGTTGGAGTCGTCACCACTATGGCGACGTTATCGGTTGCCTCAAGCATAACGAGTATGGCAGCGGGTAGGAAGAAGCTGGGGATCCGGCGGAATAGTGTGGCGAAGACGTCTCCGACGTNTGGCACCGCCCTTGCGCTGTATGCCGACGACACCGCTATAATGACAAAATCTATAGCGCCACACGTGATCACCAACAGGCTACAAGAATCTGCCAACAAACTGGAGAAGTGGTTCAGAAGCTGGCGAATAGCAGTGAACCCAGAAAAGAGCTGCGCTATTTTCCTTACCAAACGACAACAAGTTCCGGCAGGAAGCGTCACTCCCTTCGGACGTCCGATCCCATGGAAAACCGACGTTAAGTACCTCGGTGTCAAACTAGATAGGGGGTTAACCTGTAAACATCACACCGACTATTGCACTCATAATGCAGCGGCAGTGATGTCCCTCTTGTTTCCTCTGATGAACCGCAGGAGCAAGCTCAGCCTCAAAAACAAACTTCGGTTGTACACATCGGTCATTAGACCGATTATGACGTACGCCGCACCTGCGTTCTCATACGCTGCCAAGACACACTTGAATAAACTCCAAGTTGTGCAAAACAAGGCATTGAGGCTTGTCGTGAATGCTCCGTGGTTCGTTTCAAATGCGACGCTACACCAGGACTTACAAGTACCATGGGTAAAGGACCTACTCCAAAAGACAGCAACCAAGGCCTTCGTAACCCGCCAAGCCCACCAGAACGCGCTGGTACGCGAAATGGTAAGCTACAACGAGCACGTGCCTTACAAGCACAAGCGACCCAAAATGGCCATGATAAACTAACTTATAACATATCTTAACCGACATAACCAGGTCGTTGCTCAACAAGACACGTACTAACCATTTCGTATTAATCCTCTAACAGTATATATTAACCTCACAAATAGATGTACATTTTATTTATTATTGTTACTTGTTATGACATTATTTATTTATAGATTATATATATATTTATTTATTCCTATATATATTGTACTCAACCAGTCGCGTATACCATTTTAGTATATGACGCATATGCGTAGTGTACGCATAACTCTTATCATGTTCCAGATGTCCAGAACCATATGGCTCATTTGTCCCCTTTACAGACAAACGATGGTTCTAAGTTATTTCATTAACCAACACACATGAAAGTATCTGTTACAGATTTCAAGGAGAAGTCATAGTACTGGGACTTGAAGAACGAGGGGTTTTAGTGAGTAAAAATCTCACACTACCACGCATATAGAACCAATTGCGTGGTGCCTTTTGAAGGTTTCCCCTCTCGCCAATGGCACAAAAAAAAACAGAAAGTTAGTCGGCTACCCTCTTAGCTACTCACCACTACCAGTCGGCTACGCCTTTAGCTACTGGAAACCACTAGTCGGCTACGCCTTTAGCCACTACTTCTCGACGGCTACCCCTTTAGTCACGATAGTCACGTCTTAGACAGATGCCTAAACTGGCGGCTCCACATTAAAGCGTCCCGTAACAAGGCTCTGGGTGCATTCATCGCACTTAAACCTTTCCTTCGTAATAACACCATCTCCCGTGCGTTTAACGCAATTATCAGGAGCATTTGCTCTTATGCCATTCCCGTCTGGGGCTGTGCCCTACCCCATCGCCTGAAAGCTTTGCAAGTTACATACATACGGATTCTTCGCTCCGCACATAACTACCCCTGGTTCGTCAGAATCTACCAAATTCTGATTGAAACCGGTTTACCTTCTCTCCCAGAGGCTGCAATCACATTCGCGACAAATCTCAAGCTCCAGTGTCAGGCCACCCAAACCCCACCATCTCGGCACTCTCCAACTTCGCACCGAAACCCAAGGACCTTTTCCGAAGGCCCTGTCACCTTCTACAATGAGCCGCCCTCTTCCGCTCACTTCTACCTTCTAGCTTCGCTTTTTAGCGCGAGTGTCCATCCAGCACTTCAGAGGTGGACCACCTACTTCGGTTTCCTCCGCAGTACTCCCTTCCACCCACACTCCCCAATCCCCAGCCTTCCAATTTCTCCCTGGGGATGAGCAACCCACAGGGTTTATCTCCCCGATCGAGGAGGGGTTTTAGTCGGTAAGAATCCGACACTACCTCCCTTCAGGGGGTGTCTTTTGAAGATTTCCCCTCCTCGAGTATAATCTAAACAAAAAACATAAAAAAACACAGAAGGTCCTCATTTTTCTAGTGCTGG